TGTATTGTAGACCAGCCTTAAGAGCGTCGCGTGAAAAGGCACCTTAAAGCCTGTGATTGGCCTAGTTTCTTTACGCCGTACGCCGGTACGCCGTACGCTGGCTCCATGGGGCTTCAGCTTTAGCCTATGGCGGCGGGCCGCCCAATTGGCGGCCGGTCGGCCAATCGGCACGCGACAGCACCTCGCAAGCAGCGTCGCATACCGCGTTGGCCACGGCGCTCGGTGGAAGAGCCACGTCTACGAGACGGACGGACAGACGGACGGATACTGGTAGACGTTTTGACTTCCGATCCACCAGTGATCACACACAGCCTACTGCCGTGAGGATGCTGCGAAAGTGCCTGATTCTCCTGCCGCTGCTGCTGTTAGGCGTCCTCGCCGACGAGAAGGATGTCCTGGAGCTCACCGACGAGACCTTCGAGAGCGAGCTCGAGCGTCACGCGAACACGCTCGTCATGTTTTACGCACCATGGTGAGAGAAAAAGAGACGTCCTCGTCTGCTCCGGCTCCTCTGTGTATCACGCTTTGCCCTCGCGGTTACAAAACCGCCGCTCGAGACTCCTCGCGCACGGTACGAGACCAAGGTAGTCTCAAAGACGGACGCGGACCGGGAAATAATGCAGATAGTTCCAAGGGAGAAACGGAGCACTCGTTCGCCGCCGCGCCGGGCGTTTGAGTTCTTTCTTATCTTCATGGAGTGATTAATGCGCATTATAATACACGTAATTAATACGCGTTGTAATATGGAGCTCCCTTTAATAAGACTCTTATTTTCCGTCCACTAGAACCAAGAGACGACTCCTTTTTACGTCCCGCTGAGGCACCAAACGCCGGCATACGGCGTTACTCAATCCGGCCTTTGATGACGTATCCATTTCTAATGTCTCCATTTCAAAATCCGGCGAGCAATTATCTTTACCTGGTATCTCGCGATAAGGAGATTTTAGGTCGCTGATTTCGGACTGTGCTTTCTTCTTTAACGTCCTCGTTTTATCAATTTTTCATTTCTCCTTCCATTCTCTCCCCTTCCTAATAATTACGTAGTTGTTTTATACAAAAGTGCATAAAAAAACACCTAAGATTCTTATTTGCCTTATCATTTATTTTGAATGTGATAAAAGAGATATGAAAAGAGCAAAAAGAAGCAGGTCCGTTTTTTTTAAGCTGATAGCCTTTAAAGTTTATATAAAATGCAGCGCATTTGTTCGAAAGTGAGGCTTATACATTTGTTATTAGTTGTCATTGCACAATTCTTACGGGGCAGTTGATGGAACACATGTTTCGTCGCCAGGTGCGGGCATTGTAAACGTCTGAAGCCAGAATATGCAAAGGCAGCCGAGCTGCTCATAGGCAGCGAGCCGTCCATCACGCTTGCAAAGGTCGACTGTACGGAGGCTGGAAAGGAATCTTGCAACAAGTTCTCCGTCAATGGTTACCCGACGCTCAAGATTTTTGAACGTAACGAGTTCAGATCCGATTACAACGGTCCTAGAGAAGCAGCCGGCATTGTCAAGTACATGAAGGTAACGTCTTGTGTCCTTCATCTCGCTCGTAGGATTCGACCGTACGATTTTCTTACATGCGGCTGTTGTTTCAGTCTCAAGTGGGACCGGCGTCCAAAGAGTTGACCAGCGAAGAGGCCCACAAAGCGTTCCTAGAGGCTGACGAAGTTAGCGTGATAGGCTATTTCGAAAAGGACGATTCTCCATTGTCCGCGGCATATCATACCGTTTCCAAGAAACTCCGAGAGAAGGTCAGATTCGGTCACACGTCGGCGAAGGAAATTTTGGACAAAGTGTCTGACAAGTATGTGTTGCGAGAATCAGGAAACTGATTTTTCCGCGCTCGACCGCGCTAAGGAAGTAACTGTTCGAGAAACACGCATTAACCGCGCTTCTGGTTTCAGGAACACGATTGTCCTTTACCGGCCAAAAATACTCCAGAACAAGTTCGAAGATAACAGTGTAGTGTACAAAGGCAGCGACGCCATTAGCGACGTGAACGAGTTCGTCACCAAGAACTAGTAAGTATCGATAACAAGTCCATCCGCCAGATTTTTTCGATAATCTTGGAGTTGCTCTGTAACGCCGACTTAATTGCAGCCACGGTCTCGCCGGCGTACGCACCCGCGACAACGCGCAAGACTTCAAGAATCCCCTGGTGGTCGCCTACTACAGTGTGGACTACGTGAAAAATGCCAAGGGTACGAACTACTGGCGCAACAGGATCATCAAGGTCGCCAAGAACTTCCCCGAGTTCTCCTTCGCCATATCTTCTAAGGATGATTTCCAGCACGAGCTGAACGACTTTGGAATCGACTATGTGAAGGGCGATAAGCCAATCGTTTTGGCGCGAGACGCCACGAGTCGGAAGTTCGCTCTGAAGGACGAGTTCTCCGTGGAGACGTTCGAGACGTTCCTGAAGGACATGCAGGCCGGTGCTCTGGAGCCGTACCTCAAATCCGAGCCGATCCCGGAGAGCAATACGGGCAACGTGAAGGTCGCGGTGGCCAAGAACTTCGACGAAGTAGTGACCGATAACGGCAAGGACACGCTGATCGAGTTCTACGCGCCCTGGTGCGGTCACTGTAAGAAGCTGGCGCCGGTGTTCGACGAACTGGGCGACAAGCTGATGGACGAGGACGTCGATATCGTCAAGTTCGATGCCACGGCGAACGACGTGCCGGCACCGTACGAGGTGCGCGGTTTCCCGACGCTCTACTGGGCGCCCAAGGACGCCAAGGATAGCCCGGTCAAGTACGAAGGCGGCCGCGAACTCGACGACTTCGTCAAGTACATTGCCAAGCACTCCACCGACGAGCTCAAGGGCTACGATCGCAAGGGAAAGGCGCTCAAGCCTAGAACTGACGAGCTGTAAAGGCCATCACCGACGTAAACGACCGCAAAGTTCGTTCTTGCATTTTCGAATTGCGTCAATCAACAAAGCGGCCCTGGAGTTTCTCTCACGTAACACGCAAGCAAAGTACACTCGAGAACGCGCGAATGTGCATTAATAGGGAAAATAACACTTACAATTAGAGTGAAGATATCATGGGTTTTCCGCGAGACATTTTGCAATAAGTGAAAAAATAACGTATGCTCGATTGGGGCGCGGGAGGGGGGGGGGGAGAGTGTCTAGCGTATAGGATTGTCTACATGTATTAATTGTACACTTTGTAACAATTGTATAATGACGCGATAAAGCGCGCAGAACTGATTTGAAAATTTTCTCCCGTATCATGCTTTCCAAGATGTTTGGCGAATTGCAAAGTTATATGCAGGAAGAAACCTCCATTCCAATTTTGCGGGTCTCGACTACGCTAAGTTAAGAGATAATGCAGCGATTTTTGTTTATACGAAGGAGCCGAAATAAATTGTTTTATAGGAAATCGTCGAAATTTTCTTATTCCTTCCTCTCGATTATAGAACAATTAATAATCCCTTATTTGCCACGCATGAATGATCAAAACGAGTGTCGTAATGTTGCAACACAAAAAGATTACAACGCAGGTGAAATTCGCTTTCGTTAACGTGTTATCCAGCAGTAGGACCAATTATATCGTCATAAGAAATGTTTATTGTTAGTTACAATTTGTTATCATAGCGTTCGTAGGTTAATCATACAGTCTTACATACAAAAGCTAATTAGTAGTTTTTTTTTGCGGAAAAGGGTTGTGTGAGCCGGTAGAAAGATTTCGGAGGTCAAGATCGGCGATCTCTCTTCTGCTTTTGTCTCCGGATCTGTAAAAATCGATTTGTTCGCGCGCGCGCACACAACACACACGCACACACACATCCACATCAGGGGAAAACCGCCGATACTTCTCATTTTCTCGGATTATATTTTTTTTCTTCGCATACAAACCAGTTAAACACGAGTCTCAAAATATCTCGTCTACTTATGAAAAAGATAATTAGCTTACGGCGATTATATAAGACCGCGTTTGTCGATAACTCGAGGTTTACGGAGCCCTTTAGGAAAAAGTACTTGATCCGTGTGCCTGTGGTATGTATGTACGTGTGTGTGTATATTTGTGCGGGCATACGAGATGCATACTCTTCTATTTTTCTCTCTGTATTTGGAGTCAGCTCGTCGAGAAGAACGGCTCGTTCCTACGCGCACTAATCAATTCTGATTCCGTGATAACATCAGAAGGCTTAAGTCTTCCAAGACGATCCCGTTCTCGTTAATTTTTGGTTATCGCTCTTTCTCTCTATCTATCTCTGTCTGCTTATTCCATGCGACGAAAGTCTACACTGTGTGTAAATGTGTATGTGTGTATGCTCTGGAAAAACGGTACTCGAATCTCAATCGACGCGCGTACGTTTATCGTAATACGCGAGAATATGATAAAGAGTTTATATCATGTATATACAATATTTCGGGTGCGAAATTGATACAATATTATATAAGTATGTATATATATATTTATATGTATAACGGTATATATCCACGAAACTCATTATAAAAAGAACACTTTCGAGCTTCGCAGCGACGCGCGACCTGCACAGAGGAGCGGAGCGTGTATTCGACACGTGTTTCCCAAAGCACTCATTAACTCAGGCACACTTAATTGCTTAATATACATCTCCCTTTTTATCGCTATCTCTCACTCTCTCCACCTCCCCCTTTTTTCGCCGTTTTCCTTCCTTCTCCCTTTGCTTTCTACGAATCCGTCGTGCGCGCGTTCGCTCGTGGCAGAAGTATCTTAAGTTGTGTTGCTAAGCTTCTTTTTCCTTCAGGCGGCTTTGAGAAGTTCCGTAAAAGCGTACTGCGTGTAATAACAAGATTTACTACTCGCTAAGAGTTCGAGAAACGAGGAGAGAACTTAGTGAACACAATTCCGCAGTCGAGCCCGTTGAATTAACGACCGAGGGAGGCATTGCGTTACGCGGCCGTTAATTCAACACCACCTTGGTAAGAGACACAATTTCATTACAAAAAATTCTTACAGATTAAGACGGATATATATATAAAAGAAGACGAGTAGCATCATCCTTTCTCTTTTCACCACGGCACGTAAAGAGTAGCACAAGCGAAAACGGGAAGAGCTTATGGCGAAACATAATAGGTCGAACATTGGTGTGAATTTTGCGAAGCAGCTTGGCTCTACAATTGTGGCACACACGGTAAAATCAAAGCGAGATATACGCGCCGCCGTGCGCGAGATACACGTACGGCCGATAATCTCCAAGTTTAGTACATCATACGCTAAAGATATCGATGGCGTATGTATGTGTATATAAAAAAGCGCAAACCGCAAGTCCAGTCACGGCTTGGTCAGACATAAAGAACGCGTTCCCCGAAATACATAAATATAATTGTAGCCGCTTGTTATAATCTCCTTGTTTATGTTAGTGTCATCGTAATACAATAATTATAATAAGGTAATAAAATATAATAATAATAATAATACACACATTTAATCTAATTGGTATCTTAAAGATCCAAGTAATCTGCTGGCCTACCTATGCGCGTTTATAATGTAACATAAATGTCCGTTACTTTTCCTTTCTACGTTCAAAAGTCGCGATAATTTTTAGTAAAAAAAAAGCGAGATGCAAGATTCCAAGTTCTCTCAAACTGTTCCTCTGAATTCTTATATTACTCTTTGACTGCACTTCGCACTTGTTACACTTGTTTTGTGCATTTAACGTTTCTTATTGATATTCTTTTCAACTCAATTTTTCCTCAATTTTGTTTATTATACCAAAATAAAGAGACACTACGATAAAAAGAACAAAGATGTAGAATGCATATAATAATTATAATAATATTAATAATAATGAGATAGCAATAATAGTAATAATTACTACAATGATAATCGTGTACCGTGTATGTACCGTGTGAGACGTAGGTAATTGGTATGATAATCGGTTTTTTTGTTTTAATCATTTCAATCTGAAGCACAATTCATTACTGTTAAAAAATACACAATCAATTATAATAATAATAAGTATACTTATTATTATATCGAAATTGTTTAGTGTTTTTTAAGTCCTTCTGACGTTTCATTGACAACGGTTTACAACATTAGGTATATATGTAGACGCGGTTGCACCTTCTGTTTTTTTTTTACTAATTTTTTGCTGTAGATTTGTTTTATTATGTAAAATAATTAAAGGTAAGGTGTTACATTCCGCTGGGGATCTACAGCATTACGACTAGCTTCTTTGCAGCTAGTTCCGCAATTCCATAATTTTGCCCGTGTTACGCGGGCTCACTTGTCATAACATCTTAAAGAAGCCTACACTTTCCCCTCTTCTTCTTCTTTACCTAAAAATTTAGGATACTCGCATTAATGCGTGCAATTATAAAAAGATAATTATAGCAACAAGTATTAAGTAATATCGCATGTTGTTGTAAACATTGATATTGTTGAATATCTCTTCTGAATAAGCTTGATTTAAAGGTTTCTTTTTATATTGTCCAGCAACTTGACGATCTCTAAAAAATTTCCTAGGAATTACTATTGGAAAGGAAACGTACTTGTAATGCAGCTCGAGTTGCCGTTTCGAAAACTTCCCTGACACCTTCCTTACTCTTGGCGGAACACTCAAGGTAGGCGAAAGCATTGATTTTCTCGGCCATAGCTCTACCCTCCTCGGGCTTGACCGGCTCCTGCTTCATCTTGCTGAGCTCCTTGATGGTGTTGGGATCATTGCGTAAGTCTTTTTTGTTTCCCACAAGGATAATGGGCACGTTCGGGCAGAAGTGCTTCACCTCCGGTGTCCACTTCTCGGGAATGTTCTCCAAGGAATCGGGACTATCGATGGAGAAGCACATTAGGATAACGTCTGTGTCCGGATACGACAATGGACGCAACCTATCGTAGTCTTCTTGTCCAGCTGTGTCCCAAAGAGCCAGTTCCACCTGTTCGTAGAAGCGAGAGATGTTCGTTGAGAGAGAAAGTTTTAAGATACCTCCTGACGCGCAAGGTAATAAGGGAAATTTCAAGACGACACGCACCTGTTTGCCATCCACCTCGATATCGGCGACATAGTTCTCGAATACCGTGGGCACGTACACCTCAGGAAACTGGTCTTTGCTGAACACTATGAGTAGACATGTTTTACCACAAGCACCATCTCCCACAATAACCAACTTCTTCCTAATGGCTGCCATGAATCCTAAAATGCAAAAGAGTATACGTGGTGTGGTACAATGTCAAGGCAGATCGGCAGTGTGATCGAGTTTGATTTTGTTTGCTCGTTTACAACATTTATCGGTTTAAAAATGTACGTGAATACTGATTGATTGATTAATACGGATAAAGCGGAACATGTGGTACGTCTGTTACAAGTTAGTGATCAATTTCACAACTGCAATCAAATCGATAAACGAAAACATAATGTGCTAGAATCGTCGAATCCTCGTCTCGTTATATCGCACACGGGATATGCATATTTACATTTGCGAGAGAAAAGTGTAGATTTACAACCAATTCGTATCATCAGCGCAAAGTAAGGAGGAGATAATACAGCGCCTCGAGGTGAGATTCGGGCGGCGCTTTGTATTTTCACGACTGCCAAAAAAAGCGGGCGATCCTCCACCGAGAATAACTTACCTACTTTATAGACAGAACTCTTTTTACAATTAATTTCGCAATCGTATCGTGGCGCGCGGCGCTCGACGTTGGCTGTGCTTTTATCGCGTTTCTCGCTAATCGTGACTCATTTGCACAAAGTACACATACTATATAATGTGATTATCAAACTGTCTCCAGAGCCTATGCAGTGATCGGGCAGAATAATCTTTCTTGCTAACGTTTATCTGTACAGGTGGCCTTGCGCTTACAGGTGCTAAGGATGAGTTTGCAGATTCTAATCTTTCAGGACGTGTGTACTTTACAGCATGTACAATTTGGAATACCTTAAGAAAAAGTGACACCAAAAAAGGGTTGATATCGATAGAGAATTTTCGATCAGCTAACTGCGACATTGTACGGGAAACACTACCAAGTTCGTTTCAACTAAAAGCATGCGGTGTGATAGAGATTTTGCGGCATACATGGATCACATTACGTCGATAACGGAATAATGTCGATAACACGCAGCAGATAGCTGAAAAGAATTGGAGTTAGTATCGAACATCGATGCTATACTTGCTTCCCTCGCACAGCGTCAGTTATTTATCACAATTAGAGTGGAGCAGAGCAAAAAGGTTTTTAGTTGAAAACGTGCGCGCGCGCGTGTGTGTGTGTGTGTGTATACGTGTCATGTGTATAAAAGTACGAGATGGATGAGGCTAAGAAGCATTCTTCAGGACAGAGTTAGGAAGAAGTTAGGGTGAACCTTTTCGTGAGACTCATGTAGCGCGTTATGTACATCTCTCCTTCTCGGAGCATAACAAAACATTGTCTCAAACCTCGTAGGCTCTGTACTTTTTACTTTTCTTTCTCTCCCAAATTTATCGCAACCCCTTTTACTTCAAGCCAATCTCGTAGACGACTCCCTTCCCCCCCCCCACCCTCGCGGGAACAAAGGTAATCAATTAGGCCCTTTCCCCCTCCCCCGGTCGCTTCGCTATTTTACACGTAGCTCCAAGTACCACTACTTGTGAAGCAACTGACAAGAAGAGCGGGCTCTCGTTCTAAATCCTTGTCATCTACTCAATCGCGCTATGAAAAAAAGCGGGACCTACGAGGACTGAAAGTCTTAAAGGATATTTGACTTGGGTCGTACCTGATCCAGGGTACCTCGTATTGCGTGGACCGAGGCATCGGCCCACGTTGCATCCCATGTTTTTAGTCTTTCTTTCAGCGTCTCTGTTTTAAGTGGACATTTTATATGTTAGATGTAGGTAGAGGAAGCTGCGAGATGAATGCATATATACCACACAACATATATCATAAATATACTGGCATATATATATATATGCACAAGTCATATAGATACATATACATATATGTGCGTTTCTACTTTGTGCAATACGGGGGTCGTGCCTCGTACACAGGCTTGTGCGTGAGGCTTGCAACGTACTCCCATTTCTTAACTCTTTCCCTTCTGACGTTCAAAAAGAGATACATACATATATATACATATATATGTATATATACACAATTCCACGCGGCGCGAATGTATATGCATACGCTACGAGGTTTCTCAGCAGGACTCGCCGAAATGTAAACTAACAATAAGTAATTCTTTTACCGTCGTTACTCGACTTTATGTACACATTCAAAATTAAGATACATGAACAGCATTGCATTCGTGTGGCTCTCTCTACACACACGCGCACACACGCGCGCACACACATACACACATAAGGTAAGGTCTTCAATATTTTACTACACTCAGAGGAGCGGCATGACACACGAAACGTGACATCGATAGTTATTGTGCTTTATATCGATTGGCCCACACTCAAGTGAGAAAGAGAAGAGAGAGAGAGAGAGAGAGAGAGGGGGGGGGGAGAGAGTGCCATATTTACCAAGTTTTCCCCAATCAAAGACTGTACCTTATGCATCGGAACGAAATAATAATCTGTCAAGAGACCGCATGCAAAAGGAAAAAAGAGAGACAACAAGTAGATCACTCGTTGTTAGGCATGCAGTATCAGGCATTAGAGAGGAACCACCCGACGAAACGTCACCTGAGTACCCTAGAGACCTTCAAGGGAGAGTCTGGAAACACAACGTTCAGCTTCTGATTGGTGCCGGTCATTACACGTTGAAACAGTTACTAAGAAACGTTCTATTTAACAGTATTTTAATAACAAATCTAAATCTTCCAACTAACTTCTCCAACTCAAGCGTAAAAGACTACAACAGATCATGTACGTTTTCAAGATGCGACACGTTAGGATGGATTGATGGTTCGAAAACTTTTTAACTGTATGTGAATTTTACTTTTCGACCACACCACTGTAATAAGCTGATCCTTAACTCTCGACAGTATCGTTAATTGTAATTATATTACACATATTATTAAACTAATTAAACCGATGTAAACTTGCGCTGAAGAAGGTGCCGTGACACCGAAACGTTCGCCATCAAATTACTCTAAATATATTTTTAATTTTTAATTTTGCCTTTCATTTTATATCGCTCGTGCTGATATTGGCCCACCGTTTATGTTCATTTGTTCTCACAAAGAACGAGCCTAACATACCAATTTAATTTATAAATAATAATGTTTTAGATATTTTAAATTGTCACAATTTAAAAAACAAAATTACATCTAGATATACTATATTTAGGTTACGAAGTATTTCTTCCAGTTATTCGTTCTATTTTACTTTATAACATATTTGTTTCTCATATGAATCTCACTCATCGTTAAGCCTAAAAAAAAATGTGCCATCGTTTGCGTTTGCAAACGCAATATATTAATATTTCAACGCATAACAATATGTGTAAATAATATTTTTAACGTGTTTTACACGTAACATAGCAAACTTTAACATTTTTATAGAATTTCGAGACGGTCAATTTTAATTTAAATAGTCTTATTTTGCACGTACTAATATAAAGAGCAAACTGTGAAAATTTGAAACAATTCTCACATAAATGATTGTACGAAATAACTACCTTAATAAAAAAGCGATCATACAATAGCAAAGCAATGGCGATGCATTATGATGTTAAATACATAATACAACTTCATTACTTTTTACATTTGGTTTTTATTATTTAAAACTTTCAAAACTTTTTATAAGTTACTAGATTTGACGCATAATGGCGAACGTTTACCAAACTCTCCCTTGAGGGTCTCTACCCAGGTAGCAGACGGACGTCATTTTGACGTGAAATACTAATCAGGTTCGTCTGAATGACGTCAAATGACCAAAAAATGACCGTCATATGTAAGTCTTTCGAATGACGTTATAATGACAACGAAATTTATGGCCCTTTAGATGAATATTCGGCGTTTCCATTTGAGAATTACCTCGGTCATTTAAAGAAATTACTAAAATTTTCTAATAATCCATTACAACAAATACATCGTCGATTACAAGAAATCAATTCTTCATTAAAATTAAATAAGTGTGACTTAAAAAATTTTGTCAAAGTTAAACATTTTGTTCATATGGAACATATAAATAGGCTTTTATTAAACTATAATTCTTACCAATGGTACAAACAATATAAAAGAATTAATTTCGCGAACTTGTCATTTTCCATCAATCACTACAGTATTGCAGACAGTTATTGTAATTTGAGAGGCAATACAGAAGTAATAGAAATACATAATATTGTGAAAACAACAAAGGGCTATATCTTTCTTATTGGAAAATATTTTGCCGTGCGATTCATCACTACTTAATATATGTGTTCTCAAAGATTTAAGTGACTTAAAGATATGGCCTATTAGTCTCATTGGCAACAAATGTATTGTAGTACCTTATATTGATGATAATACTTACGTATGTTTTCCAATCATACATAACATTGATTAATTTTTTTATTAATACTTTGAATTATATTTGTGAAAGTAGAATATGCATTATGATTGATAAGCTGTTTCAATAATTAAACTTAAGTTCTTATTATAGCTATTAAGTTTATATTTTATTTGATAATACGTATATTAGTATAATATGTATATTTTTGTTTATTTGATAATTATCAATTTATAAAAATTTTACATGTATTGTAATAAAAAATATAATAAATTTTACCTTTGTATATATGTACATTTATTATTTGCCTATATGTATATATTAATTAATAATCTATTAATTACATTAATAACGTCTTAATAACGTCATTATATTTATCAAAATGACGTCAAAATATGGTCATTTTTGTGACGCCAATTATCTGTGACATTAAACCGTCATTTTGACGTCTTGAAGACGTCAATTAGTGGCATCAATAGTGGTCAGTTAAGGACCAATTTTTGACGTCTAAATGACCGTCTGCTACCTGGGTAGAGTGCCCTAGTGTATCATTTTATCTTTGTTGCTCACCGAATGGTAAACAAGGATAAAATGATACACTGGGGCACTCGAGTGACGTTTCCGAATGTAGCTTATGCGGCGTCTAGAATGAGACCTTTAAGGGGCTCCTGGAGTAACAGCTGAACTTTGAAATCATCGATAATTTAACGTCCTATATTGTCAGTCAGTCCAGGACGTAAAAATGTGTTGGAAACACAAGGTTAGATTTTGACAAGTTGCATTTTCGCAAATAAGCTTAAACAAAAGTTAAAATATATATATATATATATATAAAACCTTATAAATCGCTTACCGAATTTTGTTTGAGTGGTTGGCATCACTACTTAACAACTAGTTAAGCTAACTAGCCACAGTAAAACAGGGCCTTAGGGTCAGAGCACGAAAACAACGTAATAGCTTACGGCGAAGACATAAGCGTAAACGTAGATTAACGCACAAGCTTGGACGTAAATGTAACGTCATATGTAATTGGAGGAAAGTACGAAATACGCGAAAGCTTGTGCGCTAATCTACACTTACGTCCTTGCCGTGAGCTGTTACATTGCTGTGTGCTCTGACCCTTAAACTAACCAGCCCGCAGTGTACTTTTGTACATACTTTAAGCGTACGAGAGGATTTTTCCAATCTGTAAAGCCAATTCGAAGCTGTGTCGCACTACACGTCGGTATTTGCCGTCTTTAAGAAAGTGACCTAGCACAATCGAATGTGGGGGAGAATAACCGACTGCGGTTGGTCGTTTTCTTAAATCTTACGTCTTAAAGATCTCATTGTCAACGCCGCATTAGTCCGGTGGTACACGCTGTGCGCTCACGCTTGTGCCGCGAACCATGCGCCGCACGGAGTCCCATGGGAATCGAAAGGCAGTCTCAACGTCGCGGCCGAATGCTCGAGTCGCAGGCGAAATCTGAAACGTGATATAACTCGCCGCGGGGGAAAGGGAGCGATTAACGCTCGAGGAAGAAGTTGACCAAACAGGCAGCGCGACAATAGGGGGAGGCAAGTAACTGGCGAAGCTTGCAAAAGTTCACCCCTTTCACAGTGACGCCCGCTCGTCGTGATACCGTAATGATACTCGGCCAAGTCACACAGAAGCGGAAGCGCGTGGAATATTGCCTGTGAGATGCGAAAAAGAGACAGAGAGAGAGAGAGAGAGAGAGCGAGAGAGAGAGAGAGTCGCGCCCGGAATTCCTTCCTGCTGACAGAATTGGTATCAGGTATCGTCCCTCCTTCAGCCCCGAAATGAACGTTCGCGCGACGGACGAGCGCGTCCGCGTCGATATCGCGAATACTCTCGACACGCAGGAACGAGTCCTTTGTCTCGCAATTTACACGCGTCGCTCGCAACTTATCGGAGAGAAGAGAGAGAAGAGAGAGAAGAGAGAGAAGAGAGAGAGAAGAGAGAAGAGAGAGAATGAGTGGTGTGTGTACGTGTGAGAAAAATACATGCCGCTGACATGGAATGAGTGTCGAGAGAATTATTGTACGTGAAAGCTGGGACCAACCCTTTCGTGTATTTCTCCGAAACATAGAGATCCACGAGGACGAGCACGCGGATAGGCGCCAGAAGACATGCAGCAGTCACCTCTGATGATCCCTAATATCCAGTTGCCGAGCGCCTCTCCTATGAAGACGAGAACATTGCTACCTCGGGGAGGGAGGGGTGTGTTCCTTTCAACCGCGCTTGTCACTCATTACACCCTCTGTGCTTGAAACAAAAGGAAGACGTACTCGCGGTTTCGTAAAGAAGATGAGATAGAAAGAAAGAGCGAGAGAGAGAGAAAGCGTAGAAAAAGTCAAGAGTTAAAAGGAACAGGCCTAAGTCTCGGCCGTGCTCTCTTTACACTTTCCGCATTTAAAAATATCTCGAAAGGAGCGAGAGGGAAGAAAGAGAGAGAGAGAGAGAGAGAAACGAAGCTTAGAAAGTACGTGTAAAGCACCTGAGACCTGACGGGTATGCCTCTCGGCTAAACTAACCTATACTTTTCACCGCGATGAGTACGGACGAAGCGCAGCGGCCAAGGTCGGAGGATGTGAAGGAGAAAAGCGCGCGCGCGCGCACGAGAAAGAAAGAGAGAGAGAAAGACACTCCGTGGCGGACACTTAGGACGCCATCGATGACGCGAGTGCTCCGGAGACGCTAATGATGACGCGGATTCTCGGGAGACGCCACCGACGGTCGCGGACGGCTCGGAGGTCCGCCCGCTCGCTCTATCTGCACTCTTCTGCACTCTCTCGCGTACGAGGTGTCCCCCTCCCCAGCCCCCCTCCCGCCCTCGTTTTACGTGCGCGACAGGCCGGAGGAGGCGGGGTGTAGAAAGTGCGATCGAGAGTAACAGGCCTTCGGAATCCGGAGGCTAGTCCCTCTCGGCCTCTCTTCTCTTCTCTCTCTCTC